AGCTGGAGGTAATACATTTTTCATCCAATTGGTTATCCACAGTGGATTTGCAATCGAATTTTTTTTGCCCCGATGCAAGTTCGTTTAACAAATTTTGCATATTTAGCGGATTTTGCAGCACTTATGTGATTATTCCGCAACCCGTCATCTGCGCAAAACTGAGCATTTGAAGTACTTCACAGTGGTACAGATTTCTTTTGTTGTTTCAGTTATGTGAAAAGGTCTTTGCTTGTAGAGGCTTCCAGAAAACAGATGTTGCCTAGCTTCACACTCTCCGACTTCAAATTTTCATGGCCTCGTCGAAAATCTTTCCACGTCTAATAAAAATCAGTCTACAATTTGTTACAAGCGATATATGGTTAAATGGGCAGACAGACGAATATGAGTGAAAAATACGCTTACCAATGTAACAGTGGTGCCGTGGAAACATACTTTTTGGAGCAAATTAACAGGCCGTCTTTGCCAACACCATGAGTTTAAGTTTAGCTGCCAGAAGTCATCAAACAAATCGCGTCGCTGTAATAAAGAATCATTTAAGGTTCAGAATAACTTTTTGCAGCAAAAACCTAGGAAAAAAATTTTTTTTTCAGAAACTAATACAAGAAACCTAGCAACTTACCACAGCCGTTCGATTGACTAATCGCCTTTCCGTGCAGCCACCATGAATATATACTGAATCGCCAAACTTCACGCAACCATGACTCAAGCGACTCTGAAATATTCGGAATTAATGAACATACAAAACTGCGTAGAAATAAGCAAAAGTTTCAATGCAAGTTAATTTATAGGCACTAAACGAATGAGTCACAACCCCCACCACAACTGTTAGGGTACACATCACCCTAAGATTTCAGCTTCCTGGTATCTCAGATCCCTGAGTTATGAACTTACCCGAGAAAAATATTGGCGGGCCCGTACGCGGGTGCCACACTTACCCGGGGGCTGGGTTTGAGCTCACTAATACCTACTTGGACGGGGAACATCCCCTTAAAATTTCAGCTTTCTAGCATCTCAGATCCCCGAG